TTCGTTTTGGCAGACAGACAATGGAAAGGAAAACGCGGGGCAACGACTGACAGCTCTCAGGAGAAAACGGCTGGGGTCCGGCCAAGGCAGCACCTCCCCACCCCCGCCCTGTTTCACACGCGCACCCCAGACCCCCAAAGGCTGAGGCGCTCCTCGGGGCGGGCTGGCCGGGTACTGCACGAACCACAGCACTAAAGGCGCCGTCCCGCCGAGACAAACGCGGGGGAGGGGAGGTGTGGGCAGTAACCGCGAGGCTTCCTCTCGCCCTCTGCCTCTCACCGTGCGTGGAGGTGCGTGGAGGTGCGTGCCTGGGGGGGCGTCTCGGGCCGGGACCGTCCGGGTGAGTTCCCGCCGATTCCGCCCGGGCCCTGGGGCTGCAGCCCGCGGGGCGGCGTCACATGATGGCGCAGCGGTTGCGGCGCAGCGCGCCCTGGAAGCGCAGGGCGGCGTGCACGTGCTTGCAGCGAGCGCAGCCGACGCTCTTGAGCAGCTCGCTGAAGAGCAGCAGGATGTGCCAGTTGTACTTGGCCGAGCACTCCACGTAGCCGCACTTCCAGGTCTTGCGCACCAGGTGTGACACGTTCCAGCGCGGAATCACACGTCCTCGCTGCAGGTCCCGCTTGTTGCCCACGATGATGATGGGCGTCTCCGAGGTGCCGATCACCCTGCGGGGCGAGGTGGGAATCTCAGAACTCCGCCAGCCGCACTACCGCTGGACTTCAAGAAGGGCAGGCTGTGTACCTGGACCCATACTTGTGTTCCAGGAGCGGCACTAGGCCCGTGGGGTACTTTATATTCTCTTCGCGGCATCACTGAAACAAGCGGTGGGTACTGTTGTGACCCAACTTGACAAATGAGGAACAGAGGCCAGTTAGATTTGCCTGCTAACTGGCCTAACGTCATGCTGCCGATCGGCTCTGGCGGTCTTGTTCCCAGAGCCCCTCCTAGACTAGCCACCCCCTGGTAAGGCATCCACACTGAGTTAAGAGGAAGGGGAGCAGCAAACAGTGGTGTGTGTGGGCCTGTTTGAGTGTGTGTGGGAGCCCAAGGATAATTCACCTCTATTGCACCAGTGCACCCTTTACACGGGGGCCGACTAGCATTAGGAGAGCCACTGAGGCAATATACAGCCCCCACACCCCTCACCTGGTCTCTAGGATCTGCTGGCGGATGGTCTTGACGTACTCAAAGCTGTCAAAGCAGCAGATGTCGTAGACCAGGATGTAGGCATGGACACTCCGGAGTCCCCTGCAGCAGGTGTCTGCCCATTCCTGCAATACCCCCCCGGCCCAGTGCAAAGGTCAGAGAAGACCAAAGGGCTCTGCTTGTCCCCAGCCACCTCCAGCACTTACTTGCCACTGCTCCCCAAGTCTGCCACGCTCACCCACCCCCAGGAGACCAGGTCCAGGGCAGAATGGGAGAGGTCTGCCGCTTTCCCACCCTGGGCCAGATCAGGGTAGGTCACATTGTCTGACCTGTAGGGTCGTTGCACTGGAGCTGAGTTCTGCCTTGTCCTGTGTGGTCCATCTACACAGTCCTTTATTCCACGGTTTCTTTATTAAGTACCGCTAAGAGCCTGATCTAGTTATTGGGTCTGCTGAAATTCTCTTCCAAGGCTCAGCTCAAACACCTTCCTGCAAGCAGGGGACTTTCACCCTCACCTCCATTGTTCTAAGAACTTCTGAAGTGCGGCTATCAATACCTTAGATAGAGCTGTTTTCATCCCCAGCTCCCTGCTTCTGCTGTGAATTCCCCAGAGGTCTAGAACCATGTTTTTCTCAGTTTCACCCTTGTAGGGTATCTGATATGCCCTGCTGTAGGCCCCACCATGCCCCCAGGGATGAGAGGCCAAAGACCAGAGAGAAAAAGATCTAGATAAGATACCTAGTGGGGGCTGATGTGGAGCAGGGCTCCTGGGCAACTGCAAGGAGGTGGAGGTTCCTGAAGCTTGTGGCAAATTCTGAGGGAGGAGCTGCACTTTAAGATGAACAGGCCCCTACAAAGGCTGAGTGCACTAAAGAGAAGGTGCTTCACCACATTAATTAGCTCATTAATTACCCTGCCAGCAAATGGCAACGGCAAGAGTAGCTGAAGGCAGCCAGTGTGTGGAAATCAGGAGTCCCTGAAGTAGGAGCGTGAGGGTCCGGGCAGGAGCTGAGGAGGCACAGGCTTGTTTCCTGAGTTGTGGCAGGGGCCAGGCATGAAGGACTACAGCTGGTTTTCCACCTCAGAAGAGGAGTAAAAAGGAAAAGATTGGCGACCGTAGTGGAGAGTTAAGTCTGACTCCAGAAAAGCACTCTCCCACTCGAAGGCTTAGAAGCCGCTGCAGTGGGGCTCCCTAGGGAGATGATGTGGCATCTTTTCTTTGTGCTGAGTTTTAACTTTGGTGCAGGGGGAGGATGCTGAGGACAAATCTAAAATGGGAGGAAACCGTTAACCAGCTTCTCAGTCCGGCGAAGGTTGCATTCTGCTGGATTCTGACCTGGGGAGCCTGGACCACAGTGCACAGGACTCTTCCCCATCTCAAGCAAGGTGTGGAGATCACGGGAAGTGGGTGGGATGGGGAAGGGCACAATGGGGCTGCCACATCTCCCAGCTGAGGCAGGGGAGAGGAAACAGCTGTCAGCCTTTAAGGGCCACAGCCCCACCTCGCCCCAACATGCAGCTTCCTGGAAGGGGCCTCAGAGCTGCCTCCCGCCCATTCCTCTCTGGGGCTCCCAAAAGGGAGCGGAGGAAGGCCCCCCGCAGGCTGGGTGGTTCCTTCATTCCTGATGGAAGGGAGGCAGGGAGCAAGAAAGCTGAGCTTTCTTCCAGCTTGCTGTAACCAGCTTTCAAATGGCAAAGGACCATCTCGGGGCATTGTGGAGACAGAGAAGGAACAGTGGAAACTGCGTATGATCCAAAGGCTCAGATGCCAGGGGAGGCTCAGCCAGTGGGGTGGCAACGGGGAACACTGTCCACTCCTTGGGTGAGTGGGCATATACTCTCTTTCCTCAGCTTCCTTCTCTGAAATGCCGTTCTCATCTGGCATTGGGGAAGAGTGTATTTTACTTTAAAAAGGTGGCTGTGTAGTTGAGGCTTTCAAGGTCCCTCCTCAGTATTTTTTTACTCAAAGTTCCTTACCTGTGCTCCAGGAATGAAATATTAGACATTCCTAGAAAGCCTAGAACTCAGGGTCCATCAGGAATAAGAAAACTAATAACCCGGTGAACATGTGGGCAGAATATGAACTGTCAGAAAAAGAAATGCAGAGGCCCCTAAATATTGAAATGATGCTCATGTGCATTCATATCAGAGAGGGAAATAAACACTACATGGAGACATCATGTCTCATCTGTCAGATATTTCAAAAATCTAAAAGTCGGCCCATACATTTTGCTGGCAAGACTTTAGGGACAGTAGTGCTGATGTCTATACTCTTCACAGGACACGAAATGTGCGACTTCATAGAAGGGGAAGGGAATCTGGCCAATATTTTCCAAATCCACTTGCATTTACCTTTTGACCTAGCAAAGTCATTTCTAGGAATTGATCTCATAGAAACACCTCCCTGTATAGGAAAGGACTATGTAGAGGCCTGCTCATTATGGCGTTGTCTTAAGCAGCAAAAGATTGCAAACAAGTCACTTATTCAGTAAGAGGGGACTCCCTGATCCATCTCTCCAATGGAATACTATGAGCCTTGAGAGATTAATGAAAATCTCTGGATACTGACCTGGAAACATCTTCAGGTTGTAAAGTCAAAACCAACCAACAAACAAAAAAAACACCCCAAACAAAAAAGCCCAAGGTGCAGAAAAGTGTTTTCTTTTAATGTAGGAAGTGGGTGGAGTAAGATTACATCTTCTTATTGTGTGAAGGAACATTGGAAATATAATAAAAGCCAGTGGAGTTATGGAGAATGGTGTAGGCGTGGGGTGAAGGGGATGGGGCGACACTGAGATTTCTCTGGGTGTACCTTTTGACACAGTTTGAGTTGAACTTAAATTCAAAATGACTATACGGCAAAATGTATTTTTTGGGGTCTCTGGGCAGGCTTGGAGCAATCTTTGAGCCGCTTAGGCTACTGATAAAGTCCCCTTGGAGGAGAACGTGAAGGTTCTGGCCCTAGATTCCATACAGTGAGTGGCTCAAGTCTCACTGTTTCCAAGGGCTGTGTGAGGATCAGGCTTTTGTCTTTGGAGCTGACCCCACCCCCTCCCTGGAATGGGGGACACCAGAGTTGCTGGCCCTAAAGCTGCTAACTTTGAGCCCCAGCCCAGCCCCTCCTGCCAGAGATGGCTGCATGTGTAACTACAACTGCCCCCCCATCGTCCCCCCCCAACCCTCCAGTACCCCCACCCCACCCTGCCATAGCCCCTGCCTTGGGTCTCCAGCATTGCACCTGATCTTCATGGAGAAGTTTCCTTTGCTGAGCAAATGTGTCTTAGAGCTCAACTTCCCCCCATACCCGGCCCCTCTCAAGCTGGAGGTATTGAGGGGGAACAGGGCCTGGGTTCCTGCAGCCTGGGGGAGGAAGTGCTGTGCTGGGGGCATCTGAATCCAAATCCTGCAGGAAGGGTGCCCAGAGGGCCATTCTGAAGGTTGGGGGCACAGTATCCCCTGAGAGCCAAGGAGACTTGATTTGGGCCCCCAGAGTAAGAACACACCTCCCCGGCCTCAGCCTTTTCCTCTGAGGTCCCTTCTACAGAGGATATACAAAGTGGCTGAGACCATGGCAGCTTCAGGATATTAACTGGCTATTCTCTCCATTGCCTCCTACCTGCCCTGATCCCACTTAGTTGAGACATGGCCTCACACACACACACACACACACACACACCTGAGCAGGTGAGCTACCCCTTAGGGCTGCCTTAACTCCCTGCTCCTCCACCACACTCATGGAACTATTGTCTGTTTGTCTTCTCACCTGACGCTGGGTTCCTTGACAGCAAATTGCACATCTGTTTCAAGCAAGCACCATCCTACCCTGGTACCCATCACCTGCCTGGCATACAAATGTTCATCAAATATTTATTGGATAAATGACTGCACAAATGAATGGATTCCAGGCAGGACCCTTTGCAGGATTTCCCATGGCACAGAGCAGAGCTCTCAAAGCTAGTACTGGAGGCTTGGAATAGGCCCAAGGGCTGGAGAGGGTTGGAGGTCAGCCTCTCCCTCACCCCTCCGCTGCCCCACCGCCCTGCCCCACTGCCCCCTACCTGGAGCGTGTTGACAGGGAAGGCGCTGATGGGCGGGAAGTCGAGGATCTGGAGGTCGTGCACATGGCCGTTCATGACGACAGCAGGCAGGTAGAGGCGGCGGGCGGTGGTGGGCACGCAGACCTCGCTGAACTCGTTGTACAGGAACTGGCGCACGATGGCACTCTTGCCCACGCCTCGCGCCCCCAGCACGGCCACCCGGTAGGTGGAGACCATGCCTCCCGCCACGCTCCGCCACCTCGTCCTCGCCGCGGCCTGGGGCTCCCCCGGGCTGCATATTCCAGGGGCTGGGGGCTCAGCCACCGTCAGGACCGACCATTGCTGCCCCTGCTTGTCCGGGGCCCTCTGCGGCCTCCACCTGGACTATGGAGACAAGAGGTGGGTCGGGTGAGCTGGGTTTCCAGGCCAGGTCCCACACGTCCCCCTGGGGGGATTCGCTGGCGCTGTCACTGCTGCTTGGAATGCCTTTCCTCTCGCAGAACCCCTCTGCCAGCATCCCCAACTCCCCACTTCCCCCCAGTCCTCCCTAGCAGTGGGAAGCAATCTTTTCTGACTTACACTGTGACCTGACTTTTGGCCAGTTCTGACTCCCAAGCCCGCAGGCAGCAGGGCAGGTGAAAAGAGCTCAGACTGCAGCCTTCCCACGGAGCCCAGGGCCAGGCAGCGACTCCTCGAGTCTGGGTGACCAGGGATGAGCCGAGGCCAGTGTCTCAGCAGAGGCGCTCTGGCGTTTCTTGGAAAGAAAATTGGGCAGGACTGTCTGAACTCTGCTGGACATTTCATGTCCTCGGCTGCCATGAAGCGTCTGCCAGCACCCTGAGAGCAAACTGCAGCCTCCAGTCACCATGATGACCACAGATGCCCACCCCCATTTTTAAATGCCCCTCAATCAACCCCTTTGGCTCTGGGAGCAACATCTGCTGAGCACTTACTCTAAGTTAGCATACCCACACGGCTACCCTTAACACAACACCCTGAAGGAGAGGTATCCCCACTTTGGAGACGGCTCGGGAGTACGAAGCCTGCCCAGAGTCACACTGATGGGAAGGGCAGTTTGTCTTTCTCCAGCTTCCAAGTATAGTGATCCTAACCGCTGAGTGCCACAGGGCTGTGTCTGGGTCCCGGCATCCTCGGGGGCTCCGAGCGCTGGGCACACCGCAGGCAGGACCTTGCTGTGGGTTCATGAGCTCCTCGCCTGCTTAGTGTCAGTGACCTCAGAGCTTTGGAAGAGAGCCCAGCACTAATGTTTCTCCAGTGGGCAAGCCACCTGCCTGACCTGATCCACACTCGCCACATAGCTAAAATGGGGTCAACAGCTAATATTTCTAGATAATCCAAACACATCTCTTAACCAGGCACCTTCTCTTCTGTTGGGGATGATGACCCGAGAGGCTGGTACAGCCTGAGGCCTCCTGTCCAGGGACTGCGCAGGAGGACGACACCAGGCCTGCTAAGTGGGCCCAGGGCAGGTGGGTTTGCTGGCCTCCCACGGGGCCATGCTACCCGTGTTCTCTCCACATGTTCACGTCCACACATCCCCCAGTTTGTCCTGGGTCAGAGGCTCCAGCCCACTGGAGTTGTGTAGCTATAGCAGAGTAAATAAATAGGGTTTGGAGTGAGACTCGCCTACCAGGGTTGGATTCCCAGTTCTGCCACCTGAAGTGTGACTGGGGCATGAAACTTCACCGTGTGTTGCAAAGTTATGCCCATACAGCTCAGCGCTGGCACCGAGTCGGTGCCCAATCAAAGTGGCTGTTGCTCCTAAGGTTTTCCAGTATCTCAGCAAAGCCTCTAGCAGTCTCGGCTGGGCCACTAGCCGCTGCTGCACTGTGGCTCACACTGTACAGCGTTCACGTGAGTGTGTGATTCTTCTCCCCATTCTATTGAAAGTTAAAGCTAAATACCAGGGACTCAGAGACTCAGGGAACCGAAAACCACACAGTCAATTGAGCCGTCAACTAACACGAGACCCTGATCTTCTGCCTGGAGCAGTGTCCTTTCCCCAACAGGTGTTTATGTACTTCTGTGGGCAGAAGTACCAGGACCTCTGCCCCATAAATCCCTCCAGACCATGAGCCCCTCAGGCATCCCAGACACTGTTAGCTTGGCAGTGAGCCTCCACTGGGTTAATTACATAACCAGTACAAGCAGGTGGGGAAGGGGTACCCTAGGGGAGAAAAGGAGGGCCAAGATCGCTAGCAGAGTCCCTGACTCTCCGGGTGTGGCAACCCAGAGGTATCTGGGCTGTACCCTGTCTACACATTCGCCTGGACATCACTCTGACTGCCCAGAGCCATGCCCTTCTGGGAAGAGCAGGGAAATCAAAGCCTAGCACTATGCTGGAGCCGGGGAGGGGGTGCCAGAGAGGCCCCTAATCTGGGAGAGCCTACTGGAGCCCACAAGGCCCAAGTGTGGGCCTGTCCCTGACACAGAGGGCTTGGTGCCTGCTCCCTGGCCTCAGGCAGGGGTCCAGGGTTTAAGTGTTTATTAATCCAACATCCCTGGTCGGGTGGGGGTGGAGGGGAGCTGGCTCAAGAAGCAGGGCCCACCCCTAAGCACTCCCTCCCCAAGGCCTGCGCTCTGCAGTGAGTCTGCAGACAGCAGACAGCGTCTGGCAAGAGACTGGGGACACAGACAGGGGCCAAAGTCTGCTTCTTGTCCCCTCCCCTCAGCCTGGACACCTGAGTCCCTGATCCAGAGGGATGGGGCTTTGCTGTCCCGTGGGCTGTCACACATCTGGCTACTGTGTGTCCTTAGCTCCTTCAAGTGGGAGTGGGTGGGAGGGGGCGTCGGAGGATGCTGGGCTCCCCATGACCTGATTGGTAGGAGTTTGGGGGCGGGGGTGAGAGGCCGGGCTCAGCTGGCTCTCAGCCTCCAGCACCTTTGCACCGCAAACCCCCACCCTCCACCCCGCCCCCAACCCCGCTCCAGTTCTCACGTGGCTGCCCCGCGCGGCTCCCCCGCCAGCCAGTTGCCCCCTTCGCCCTGCCCCCCACCCCCCCCCCCGTCACCCTCCTCCCCGCCCCCCCGGCCGGCCCCGCCCGCCCGTTTCCCCGTCCACGCGCCGCTTACCCAGGGCCGTCCTGGCTGCACCCAACCCTGGCCGGCCGGCCGGCGGGGCCACGCTCCCCCCGGGCTCCGGCGCTGTCCCCCGGCTCCCCGGCCCGGGGGGAGAGAGGTGGGGGCGCCCCCGGCTGCCCAGTCGGGGCGGGCTCAGGGGCGGGCGCGGGGACAGGTGCGGGCAGCGGAGGGGGTAGGAAGCTCCAGCCCCAGCTCTCCCTCTGGAGCGCGCCGCCGGCTCGCGCTGGAAGGAGGGAGGAGAGAGGGAAAGCTGGGGGTGGGGGGGTGCCCGGACTGGCATTCCGCTGGGTCCCTGAGCCTGACATGTTCGCTTGGGCGGCCCTGGAATTCTTTGATCTCTCGCCTCGACCTTCGCTCTATTCCTGGCTCTCTCTGCCACGTTTTTGAGCTCTAATCTGGAGTGGTGGGAGAAAGGAATGGAGAGGCCCTCAAACCTTTTGCTTTACTCTATATCCCTATTCCACCTGCACCCCAACTTCCCTCTAGGTCTCTCTTCTAATCCTCCCAGCCCAGTGAGTCGGTTCCTGGGGAGGGGAGGGGGTGTCCCCTGTGCGCCCGGGGGCATGTCGGCCTCGCGGAGCAGGGCTGGGTGGTCTCGCCTTCCACAGCTGCAGCGACTGGTAGACAGCTACTGCAAAGCGAGCTGGTTCTCTGCCAACTAATGGCCGTCACAACGCCAAAACTACTCTTGCCAACTCCTTTCCAGACCGGGAACGACTAGCATTTGCCAAGAGGGCAGAACCCCCACATGTTTATTTGAAAATAATAGTCACCAGCATCATTCACTATCCATGCTAATGTTTTTTTGAGCACGGACTGTGTGACAACATGTTGATCTTTGCCTGCATCCTCAAACTTAATCCTTCCAACTCTCAGAGGTAATTCATTTCAAATGAGATAGTAGGGCTGACTAACTTAAGTGCAGAATGTGGAATGTAAAAATTGGGGTGCCTAGGGAACAGCCCCCAAGAAACTAGGCACGTTGCTCAGCCCATTGGGGGAGCTGAAGGCAGATGTGGGAGCTCTGTGGTGCAGCAAGGTCAGTGTTGTAGGGGATGGCAGAGGGGGTGGGCCAAGTGAAGGTTTCGGTTTCGGAGAAGAGAACTTTCAAGGAAGGAACCTGGAAAGAAGTGGCTGGGCCATTAGAGAGGCAGGCAGGGTCAATTATAGAGGCTTGAGGGAGGAGGTTAGGAACCGGATGGGAATCCAGGGGGCTGGAAGGATGAGAGATCAACAGATTGGCTGAGGTGAGGCCAAAGGCCTTGATTGCCAAGTAAGAAGTTTGGAGCTAGCCCTGTGCTGTGTGGGAAGGCACTGAAGGATTCTGAAGCAGGACAGCAACCTGGTCAGAGCTTCATTTTAGATGGCTTCGGGGCTGTCCAGAAAAGGGATAGGAGAGGAGGAACTGGGAGGGACCCCTCAATTGCCTTTACTGGGATGCAGCACCCCTCCAGTCTGCGTGTGCCTGATCTTTGTGGGCTGGGCTGGGCTGGGCACACATCAGCTTTCCTCCTCCCTTGGGCTCTGTGTTTTGGGCACCTTTCCAATTACCCCCCTCCCTCTCCTGCCCAGACAGAAAGCATAGTGGCTCTGGGGTCTGGGCTGGGCATCAGGCAGATCCGGATTTAAGTCACCACGTGCTGTGTGACTGCTGGTTAGGTGAGAGTGAAGGCAAGTGACTTGGACTCTCCAAATCCTGTTGCCTTAATTGTAAAATGGACATGTGATCACAAGTCCCCAGGGTTGTAAGTGAGCTGCAGTGAGTAAAATCCATAATGTGGTACCTGGCACGTAGTTAAGTCTCAAAATGTGACCTTTACTTTTCCAGGTCCTTTTAAGAGACGCACAGCCATTCTTAGGGGAGACTTAGCACCACCTCCGGAAAGTTGCCCTTTGTTATAGGTGGGCTCCTAGGGGGTGAGGGGTAAGAAGGGCCAGGAGAGCAGCTGGAAGCTAAAACATGGCCAAGATAAGTTTCTTCTGGGAGTGCCACCTTTTGGGGGAGAAGTCAGATTTACTGGCTCCATGGGATTATAATGAGGTCACCAAGAACCTCCTACCTTGATTAAATGGTCCAAGGGACTCTACTGCCCCCATCTGAAAATCTTTAATTCTTCCTCTACCCAAGGATCCCTGCTTTATGCATGCTAGCCGGGTGTGACTCTGTTTGGGGTCTATTTCGGCGCAAGGTGGACTAGGCAGAAGAAATGGCACCATGCTCACTCTCATACTTTGGAACAGTCTTCTCAGCCTCCACTTAGTTACACTGGAGGTGCAGTCACAGGTTAATCGTGGAATCTCATACTGGTCTACAGTGGTAGGTCACTGAAAGCACTATTTTTATATAAAAACCAGTCAGAGCCTGCATGTAAGATATCCCTTAAGTCATTTTGATTTGCTGAGAGCTGCTTTTGGTCAAGAACACATGCTCCAGGAGTCTACCACCATTGAGATGGCCTTGGTGAAAAGCTGGAGAGGCCCAGTCCTTCAGCCTGCCTGACCTTGAGCCTCATGCGGCTCTGGTTCAGCAGAAAGCGTCTGATGGCTGTGGTGCAAGCTCAGAGCTTAGGGAGCAGACGTGTGGGCCCTCTGCAGTACATGAGGCAAGACCAGCTGGAGTGGTACCTGAAGGATCCAGACTACTCTGCTCCTCACAGCTGAGGACCCCAAGGCTGTCGGTCAGATCCCAGAGCCTCTGAGAATAAGTGGAGAATGAAGGGAACAATGCAGGGTAAGCCCGAGGCTGGGTCTAATCACCTCCCACCTGGCAGCACCGGAGCTGCCTGGCCTGTGAGCAGTTCTCAGTTGTAGTGTTGGGGCAGTTCGGCCTGGAAATGAGACTTTTGGAAGTTAAGGCCATCTGGGTCTAAGCAGCCCCCAAATTAGCCTTCTCTTGTTGGCAGCATCGAGAAAGGCAGGGCAAAAGCTAAATGAGAAACTGATGGCAAGTTTTGAGCCAACTCGGAAACTTTTCAAGAAACATCCTTGTTGCTAATAACATGTCTGGGGGCTGGTTAGGATTCTAGGATTAGTGTTCAGGAGATGGAAATGGGTAACAACGGGGGAGGTGAGATCTTTCCCAAGTGCCACACCAGGTATTAAAATAAACAGGCTCTTGCCTCCTGGAGCTGGGGGTGGCAGGGAAAAAGAAATCTGGGTCCAGGCAAAATCAGAAAAAGCATGAATGCATGAGGTGGGAGTAGGAAGGCTCCAACCTGGGAGTCCTCAGCTGTTTTCTGATCTCAGAAACAATGTCCCTGAGATCTATTTCCCAGCTGCTTTTCTGGGAGGTGTAAGAAGCCCATGAGACCTCAGGTGGGATCTTGGGGGCTTACCAAGGTTGGCTACTGGCCTGGCAGTGTGCAGAGACAAGGAGGCCTCTTATGGGACTTTGTGTGGAACGGAAGGGGAAGACCGAGTCAGAAAGTGGCTTTGCCGCATCTCCCCAGAAAAACGGGGCTAACGCCCCATTGCTCAATTCACAGGATGGGCATGAATCATGTCCATGAAAGTGCTTTTACTAATTTTTAACTACCACAAGAACGTGAGGGTTACTATAGAGAGGCAGGTGGCAAATGGGCCAGTCTGATTTTTAAAACCGTAGTATACATATTACAAAACACTGAGTTTTTAAATTGCGGACTCCCTAGGCCTCACCCCAAACTGGCTGAGCAGAATCATCAGCCTGCTTTGAAAGCTCTTAAGGGATATTAAGGAACACCCAAGGAGTCGAGAGCTTTCCTCATAAGGGTTTTCGTTGCTAAACTGACACTAGCTGTCAGACTCAGCCAGATCTTAGTAAGACTCGTCCCTCTTCACCCCTGTGCCTTTCAACAAAGACCACCCTGACTCCACACCACCCAGTGTTCCCTATTAAAGCTTGGGCTAACTGCAGCATAGCAACATGCAGACAAGCCGAAAAGACCCTAGTTGCCAAAGGCAGTTAGTTCATTCATGGCATCTGGACATCCAAGCAATAAAAGCAGCTACTGTTCTGAGTACCTAAGCGTGCTCAGACCAGTGCACTTTACCTCCACTCACCCTAGTGGTGAGATTCAGGGCGCGCTGCAATTGATCTCTCAGCTTCTTTCTCCAGTCCAGGCAGAGAGAGACTTCAAAGGGTGAAGTCAGAGCGCGTAGTGGGGCCTCCAGCTTAACACGTGGGCCACACGCCTCCCACACACATCAGGTGACTGGACTTGAGTCCGTGGGAAGCCTGCTTTAAAGAAGCATTAATCCCATTCATTTGGGAGGTTTTCGTAAATTGAGAGATTAGCAAGAGGCCCTGAGTAGTAGGGAACGAGGAGCCTCTGCTGTGCTCCTTCTGTCCCTGGGACCATCTGTCTGGGCTCTCCAACAGGGGACCTGCCAGGCAAGATGGATCAGCTCCTCCAAGCACTCCTGCCTGTGGAGAGATGCCTGCGGCAGCAGCATTCTGATATAGCACTTGGTTAACAGAAGCCTCAGTGCAGTAGAAGATTCTTCCTCAGGCCAACCTTAGCTTCATCTGGCTAAATCCCTGGGGTAGGGATGGGACACAGGTAAGTCCAAAGAAAAGTTTCAACAGTGTGTTTATTGATGACTCTAGCTAGTTTTGTTTGCCCTTAGAGAGCCAGTATGGGGAACAAAGCACATACCACAAACTTTGTGTAAATGAGAATTTATTGACGAAGACACAAGGTCAAGCTTCCCCCAACCACCCTCCCCAAGAACACAGATCCCAACAACAAAAGAATGATAAGTATTCTTAGGGCGACACTTACCCCCCTCCCCCCCATTTCTCTCCAGAGTCCGATGCTTCACAGCACAGACACACGGAACAGGCTCGGGTGAGGACAGACACTCAGGGAATCTCTGACCAGCAAGAGTTCTGGGTGTGTGCGTGCTTCCCCTGCCCTTTGTATGACACCAGCTGACGGCACAAAGACATACTGGGGCAGAGGAGAGGGGAACACGAGGGCAATCTCTTGAGTTTCCCCAATTCGGCCATGCTGGTAAGGGCCAACAGGGAAGTTGTGGTGGAGACAACAGGCTCTCTGTCTCTTCAGGAGAGCTCCTCTTCTGGGAAACAGAATCCTTCCCTAATGCTGAGGGGTACAACGGGAGGCAGCCTCTCCAAGGAGAGAAGAGTTCATGGGCTGGCTCAGTCAAATCAGCTGAGGGCAGCAGCTGTTACCATCACTGCTGACGAAGATTGAGAGAAGCCTAGTTTCAGGGGTAGAGGGACATATTCTGGTACAAAACGGGGTTGTCTGCGTGCCCTGATACACGCTCCTCCTGGAACTACAACTTGTTTGAGATGAGAACGCTGTATATGTAGTATGTACCTTCTTCACTGCTTATAGCCAAAGGACTCCACGAATGATTTCCCAACAAGGGAAAATTATCAACCTGATTTTCCACCCCACATACTGCCAACCTACCCACTTCCCATATTCCTGTGCTATTTCCTATTTCACCACCAGCAGGATGGTGAACATAGGACAATCCCTCCCCCTACCCCAGAAATCCTTCTCTGAAAGATTCTCAAGGCTTAAGAGACTGCTTTGGGGGTCCCCTGCACCTCCAAGTTTTGCAACTGGTATGAATGAGAAGTCATTTCAAACATGACATGGCTGGGGAATAGTTTCTGTTCTTGTTTTCTATTGACTCCTTCTTTTGAACTCACTCTTAGGTCTGAGTCCAACTTGAGGCTCTGGACCCAGCAGTGCCTCTGAGCAGGGGCATCTAAGAAGAGCAGTGTTGGTCACAGCCCTGAACACTGGGTGCCAGGTAATGCAAAAAGTGCCCACAGATGAAGCAGTATGAACACTAGCTGATGTTTAGGCATGAAGCATTCTTTGACAAGTCACACCCAGTGTATTAAAGGAGGGAGTTTTGACATCTCCCAGTTTGAGAGAAGTCAAGAACTGCTTGACCCTCTGAGGAGATCTCAATTGCCTTGCAGTCTAAGTAACATGAGCAAAGTGCAGATCAGAGAGCTGAAGGGGTAAAGTGAATGTGTGACATCTTTAAGCTCATTTCATCTCTGTACCCACCCTGCTGGCCTGCAAATGCAGCTCCAGGAGCATATGAGGCAATATTAGCTACTTCTCACTCCGGCATCCAGAGTTACCTTCAAGTAATTGAAGGCCACTCTGCTGCTGCCTGAGGCCAGTAAACAGAGTGCCAGAGCAGAATGGAGTATGCTGAAAACCACAAAGAAGCAGGTGCAGAAAAGGCAGAAGAAAGGTGTTGAGGAAAAGAAAATTAATGAGCCTCTTGCAGTGAAAACTTCGTAGATGGGGATCTGGAGGAGACCCAGTCCCCCAGTTCGGCTACTAAACAGTTAACTAATAGGCCCAGGCAGTAAATTCTTTTTGCCTTTTATCTTTTAGAAAAACAGGATTGCACAGTTACTAAAGCCTGTTTCAACTCTGAAATGATGGTTTTAGATGTGAATTGGGCCTGAAAATTGACTACATGGAAGTAGCAAAGGGAAGTGCATTCTGGTTCCTATTCCCCAGGCCTACTCCAATTCCTTAGTCAGTGGATGAATGGGTGAGACGGGGACAGGATTTGCAAGTTTCAATTTCTCTCAGCTCTGGTGCTGACAAGTCCTATTTTCCTGCACCACGAAGCATCACTCAATGAAGACCATAATCCCCACTGCAGAGCAGTGAAATGAGGCAGGGAAAGGGGAGTCACAAGGAAAGGCCTGGAGAGAAAAAAGTAAAAACCCACGCACCCACATAGGACAAGGTGGTCCTATTTAAGAGAAGCCCAACAGGGTGGCCAAGTACCTGTCTTTCCCCCCAGGACCATGCGGTTAACGAGCCGGTTGTTTTAACGTATCTACCAGTTACACAACTCTCTCCATTTCTCATATGTACAAAAATATAAAACAATAAAGTGCAGTTTATGTTTCGGTGACACTTTTCCTTGCTTTAATATTTTTTGTCTTTTTCTGCTTTTGAAATGAGCTTTCGATTACAAAATATCAAACTACACTCAAAAATGCCAGGCGTTGGCACAGTATGGAGAAGCCCACAAGTAAGGACAGATAGCAGCAGGTGGCAAGAGGTGGGAAGTGATTGAAGCAATGGTTACAAATGTTCACAGGAAGCTAAAACTATCCAACAGGTTGTGCCCTAATGTTAGCACAGGTTAGACTAGTCACTACCTTGGTGGGTGGCCTCAGTGTGTCTGGGTTCAGATTCTACATGGCAATGCAATTTCTTCCAGTTTTAGAGTTCTTGGCTTGCACCGATCACAGGGTGGCCGGAGGGCACTGGACCAGTCTATTAATTTTTCAAAATGCTGTCGTAGACCTGATAGATGTACTGAGAGACTTCAGGAGCTCTACACTTCAGCGACAACTGTTAGGAGGAAAAGAAGGGAGATTAGTGGGGAGGCTGGCATATAACGAAAGTTATCCAAATATTCAGTCCAAGAAAACCTCTTCCTTATACAAATATCAAATCATTATGTTGTATACCTAAAATGACACTGTCAATTACATCTCAAAAAACTAAAGTTTTTCTGATATAACAGGAGGGGACGTTCTATTATGGAGTACCAAACAGAGATCCTGTTAATAGAGGTACTGTAAGTTTTAGAATTTCAATTTAATTAATGTCAAATTGTGTTGTATTTCCACCTACATTCTATTTGGTCTGTAAAGTTAGGAAATAATCCATGCAAAAAACATTGAAGCAGGGTAATGGATGCTCTAATATTTTGCTAGGAGTCATGAGAATGACATTTCAGCTACTGGCCTGTTTCTCAGTCCAACAAGGATGATTATCTTTTTTTTTTTTTTTTAAGATTTATTTATTTATTCATACAGAACTGGGGTACAGGCCAGAAATGCAGAGGGTGACAGGATTCACGAGGGACAGAGTGGGGAGCAGAACAGGCAGATTGACGAAATACACTGCTGAGGGAAGCAGCGGGCAGGTCAGGAGAGGTCTGCTGTGCCATGTGGTCACCTCCGGGGCAGGCGGGGATAGAACTCATGCGGGAAGTGGCTTAAGCTTCTTAGTGCTCTGCTTTAACCCGCTGCACCACCAGGGAGGGCCAAGGATGTTTATCTTGTTCCCGATTTCAAGAGATTATAAATCAAGTAAAATAAAACATTAAGTTAGGCAGGTCCAAGGTACCAGTCCTTTTTGTATTATATTGAGGGGAACATAGACTGTTACGAAGGGCAAACAATAACTACAAAAGTCATTTACTTAGTGTAAGTGGACAGCAATTCATGTCAATAGCTTAATCTTTTTCACCTCTATAGGTGGACAAATCAGATACTTTTACTATTCTATTCATTCTTTTTCTAGTTTGATGATTACCAGAATAAAACTGAAATATTAAAAAGATTTCATTGTTGAATGGAAACGATTTTCATTCTGTGGGTCACCAAACACAAAATCTAAACCCAGATTAAGACTCCTTAATTGTATTAGATTAGGAAAAATATTATTAACAATATAACAGAAGCATGCACACTGCATTATAGAAGCAGAAAACTTAGTAATTGCTTCTTGCATTGCTTATATCCCTCTTATCAAGGTAGATTGGCAAAAGTTAGTTATCTCTAATGATGTATCACCATGAAATTATTTTATCTCTATTTTTTTTATTAGAGATTATGGATGACTTATAGCAAAGGTGAGAATATTTTTGGCAAAAAATGTCAGGAAGATGTTGGTCAATCCTGTACTTGAAAGGCATCCTCAAAATTTAAAGTGAAAGTAAAAAATGGAAAATATCAAAAGAGGTTTATATGCTTTAGTCTAAGACTCTAAGACTATACTACCCTGAATGCATCCAGTCACACATCTAATACTTAAAGTTTTAATATTTAGTCTCAAAGGCATTTTCAAAATAGCTTCTCAAAATATTAATCAGAAGACAATTCTGATAAGTATAAAATCTCCCCAAACTTTGACTAATCTTTGGACAAAGCTGTAGTTATCAGCATTTCCCTGACTTTCACCCCCCTAGATACAGTTCTTGTACCTCCTCCTCCACAGCCTCTCCACTGTCAAATTGTGGAAAATTCTAGTGGGAGAATATGTGGGTTCAGAAAAGGAGAGAAAACCAAAAGAACAAGGACAGTTTATGGGCGTTAACTTGCAGGCTAAAGAGTGGCAGTTTCTCTTCTTCCAAATAGTTAATTTTACAATTTTGTAATAATACTTGAAGTTCTACCAGTTGGATGTTTTTTTGTTCATGACTAAGAAAATGTTAACTTCCTTAACAAAAACCCAGTTTGCCAGGGTTGCCACTGCAGGGAGATTCTTGATGGAAATCAAAGAGTTTGAGCTGCTCTTCGGTGGAGAGGAAAGGACAGAGGAAGAAGAATTTCTCTAGATTCTTAATATGTTCCCTTACCTCAACAACAGGATTAAGTTTTGATTTAAGCCCATCCCTTGCCTTCCAACCAGTACTGCAAAGACAAGCTAGAATGAATTTAATATTTAGGGCGGTGAGAGGTCCTTCTAAAAATGTTCTGTCTTATACTGAATAGAAAGACTATGATAGTTAGTGCCAAGAGATACCCTAATTCCAAGCACAATTTACCTACCAACAAATTACATGATTCTGACTGAGTCACTAATCACTCTTAACCTTGGTTTTCTGTATCTTCAACTGGGGTAACCAAGTTTCTTTAACCGTGATGAGATGGAAGATTGTATACTATAAAATAATTAATGCTAAAAAAACACATACTCTTTGAGCCAATTATTAGGAAAATAATTAAATTTATAAGACCATGATTTTACAGTAAAAACTGCATCTCTAGGAATAGCACAGAGGGGAATTTTCCTTTCTTGGAGAGTTTGAGGTAAGTGACAGGGTAGCTTCTGTCCAAAAAGATAAGGGAATGATGGTGGAGGAGGAGTGTGGGAGGAAAGCATACTTTATGGGGAAAGCCTGAAGTCTCTCAGATCACAAATACTTAGGCAAAAATCTAGCTTGATAAGATATAGCAGCTCACATACAGATGCTCTTCCAGCTCATGACCGGGGTTGGGGGTGGGGGGAACTAGTGGGGAAAACACCAAGAAATTTCAGTTCTGGTGGTACTATTTCCTACTGTCTGCTAATGAAAACAGAGTTGGTTGTTAAAATTAAGGAATGGGGTCACAGATCTTTCTCACCTAAATGGCTAAAAGTTCCCTTAGTCTACCGACTATTCAGCTTCTTCAGAGTTATACAAATGCCCAGTGCCTAAAGATATTATTTTTTGTTGCTTAACAAGGTACTTGTTCCCATCCTAAAAATACTGCCAGAATTTTAATTTTAGTCCAGTGTGATACTGACGGAAAATATACAAACTAAAGTTTCCATAAATAGGCTGCCAAAGGTATGTCCTATTTTGCCTTGCCTTTCATAAGCATTTCAGGATATACAATGCTACGAGAAAAGGCTCAAATATCTATGATTGATATCCTTAGATCATGCACCCCAAAGCAGAAAAGAAGCCCTTCTAGAAATGAGCTTGTAAAGCAATCCCTTCACATGTTCTTATAGTATCATATGCAGCAGTTATGCTACTAAGTATTAACTGGTCTTGATGAAGGTGCCAAGTTTGGGGAAGGAGACTGTTTACCAGTGCAGTGTGAGGCACTACCTCTCTGTCAGAGACCCCATGCCTGTTGGATGGGGTTGCTAATGCAGATAGAAGGGCTTCTATGGACAGACCTGGAAACTTCTTTATTGCCTGCTTGGTTTGGCTACCTGGGGTCTGAAATGTCTTTATAGGGTGCTGAGAAAAAATATCTCCTACTCAAACTCATCTTAGCCATTCTGAGAAAGGCCTTACCGTATAATTGGGGTTTCCTGGCTGGATGCGTAGCTCGGCCAAAATCCAAATGCCATTAGTGAGCTTCAGGGATTGGTACAGCATGTCCTGCCCTTCCACATTTCTCTTGGCAATAGTATAAACATTGTTGTTTTGCAGCTTGCTGGAAACTGTGTCTAGAAATACAAATAAAAATGCAACACCTTCAGTTAAAGTATCAAATAAATGAATGCTAACTCTGCTGACAACCTCACAAGCCTTGTATGCTTAACTTCCCAACAAGTACCATCAGCACACAAGCACACCATTTCAGGAAGCTCTTCTCACACACAAAATATACCATAAGGAAAAGGCTCTTAAGAGCCTCTGTATCAATCAGATTCCAGGATAGAAAAAAGAATAAGGTAACTCTAAGTATTAGTGTACAGGGCCTCCCTAGTGGCACAGTGGTTAAGACACCACTATGAAGCTATCACCAGCCACAGGGGTTAAGACACCACTATGAAGCTATCACCAGCCACAGGGGTTAAGACACCACTATGAAGCTATCACCAGTTGCCAGGGAGCTGACCCACAGGAGAGACCTTTCCTCTCTCGCCCGCTGCTCCCCTCAGCAGTGTATTTCAGTAGATAGGTATGTTCTGCTTGCTACCTGTCTCTGGTGAATCCTCTCACCATCACCTCCCAACCTCTGGCCTGTACCCCAGTACCCCAGTTCTTGCACCCACACATAAATTAAAAAAAAAGGCATTAGTGTACAAAATGTCTGTGGAGACTGGTGGGTGTCTAGGAGTTGATAATCCTACACTAAAATGCCAGGGAGGTAAAAATGCTCTGAGAAAGAAAAAGACAAAAATGGGTCTATGGGTGTGTCACAGTGACAGGGACGCACAGACTGACAATCAAATCTGTATCACTACTTCCTGAGTCACTCTTATTTTCCTGTAAGTCACTCTGGTCTCAAACACCAGCAGAAGAAAAGGGCAGAAATCTCAAATAATTAACAAGGATGTTTCAAGATTTTTTAAAAAATTGCAACTACACTATAGTATAACATTGTTTAAGGTTCCAATGTGCCAGTTCTCTTAAATAGGCCAGTGATTTCTTTGAAAATAACATGCCCCCCAATTAATAATGAAACAAACTCTGTCAACAAGACACTTTGACTAAAGTTGTGCTGAGGTGACCGCTACAAAGGCATGAAACCCACTTGTTGCTACAGGCCATAGTGGAGGCTTTCTAGTTCCAACCAAGGGTAATAGCAATTTGGTTTGTGCTCCTCCTCATGACGAGTCCTGATGTTCCAGAATTAAAGATCACTTTTTTCCTCCTTGTTCTCTCTTTTACTATAGTGTTGCAGAAGACAAACTTTGAGCATAGAGATAATAAACTTTAAGGATAGAGAACAGATTTTTTTGTTGTTGTTGACAGTTTGTTATGTTCATGTTTGACGAGATTAAATTACTCATGCCTACTTCAGGAACTAAATTTTCTCCAGACAGAAATCTGTCGTATTCTATTGTGCTTTCTAGGAAAAGCTTGCCATAATGGACAGTATTTTAATATCCCAGATAGTAAGCCCTCTAAGCACAGGGATCCTGAGTTTTTCATTGCTGTTTCCCACAGTATCAGCGACACGATGGATACCTGTTACCAATACCTGGAATAAGCCTCTCACTCCTCTCATTCAGATATTGGACATGCTGATATGTATATGATATCATAGGCATTAGAAACCATCTACAGGCCCTCCCTGGTGATGCAGCTGGTTAAAGTGCAGCACTACAAAGCTAGCTGCAGCCACTTCACCATGAGTTCAATTCCCAACTGGGGAGGTGACCCACATGGTGTGGCAGACCTCTCCTGTCTTGTCCACTGCTCCTTTCAGCAGTGTACTTCAGCATTCTGTCAGTTCTCCACCCCACTCTGTCTCTAGTGAATTCTCTCACTGCCCCTGCACCTCTGGCCTAAACCCCAGTTCTGTATGCATAAATAAACAAATCTTTAAAAAAAAAAACAAACTATAGTGAGTGTTCATCTAATGTTGGTTGAAAGGTTCCTATAAAACATGTCTTTAAATCATACTACATATAACAAAAGTAGGTCCTTGAATAAGTAACCTACTCATTTTGCTTAGCACTGGCTGAAATTGTGTTCCCCTGCCCCCCAATGTTATTATGAAGTAACACTGAACAAAATGACATTATTTGAGGATTTATGGAGTTAGTTGTAAGCTAATTTCAGGGGTTAATCTCGCCCTCATGTCTTTCTCCCATATTCAAATCAGTGAGAGCTCAGGAAAGAGGCATTAAAGTCCATTCATTAAATGCTTTCCACCACATTTAGTTATTATTTTACTTTCCCTCTTATTTCAAAGGTTTTCATTAATACCAAGCAGAGTAGTTATAACTTAAGATCTAATTCTTTGAGGAGTCAAAAAATATAGCGGTTGGAGGAGGGGACCTTAATAATATGCCTTTTAATCACCTTCTGGGGGGTCAGGCAGTTCTGGCTGTCACTTTGGTTCCTGAAATGAAGGGCTCTTATAGCTTAGATGGGGTTGCTAGGCAACATTACCAGCTGGAGTTTGGCAAATGCCTTTTGACAGGACTTCTTTAACACATGGGGGCTTGCTATAAACTGTAAAAACCAATTCTAACTTTCTAAGCTGTTGCCCATTTCCAAGGAAACAAACTGCACACAGTAGGAGCCTTTGTTTAAGCCACCTTGCTGCACAGGCACAATCATGTACTAGAATGTATTCATATATATCAAAACCCAAACTCTTACTTCTTTTCATGGTAATATTACCACCATGCATGAGATGACAGGCTAAGAAACGAAAGTGCGCGCGTGCACACACACACATCCACTCCTTCTCCCAGAATCAGAAAACATGGCAAACAGGAAGTCTAAACAAGCTGACACATGTGGAAAGCATATGGCCAGCAGCCTGGCTCTGCTTCTATAGCACGGCTACATTTTGGTTTCTATTAGAAGACCGAACGGAGGAGGGCTCTATAATCTGAGGATGTGAGCCAATTTTTAGAAATCTTAGCTATTAGGGTTAAATATGCAGGCATATAGATGGTAGGATAGTCAGACTCTGCCAAATGTACTTATTAAAAATGGCAACAGGAGCTGGAGGCAATGGCAGCTAAACTAGGACAGACTTATTGACAAAATACAGCTTTTTACACACCTGAGCTCCTGGGAAACAGGATGGAATTTAACAGCTGTGAGATTTTGCGAATGAGAATATAAGTTGTTTCAGTTTGTGCTGATACCATGTGAGGCATCTGCCCCAAGGACAGAGTGAAATGGTCAAATATGGTTACACTTGCTTCAAGATTCATTTCTTCTGGTTCATTTTTCTTCACCATCTGGCTCATTAGGTCAAGGGCCTAAAATCTCAGGAGATATGGATGTGGTCATCCTTCGTCTTTTGCCTTCACTGAAGCCATACCTCTTCCAGCAGCAACACAAGTTAAGGGAATCGGATTAGAGAGTGGAAATGGGGGAACTTGCATGTGGGGCCCACCTGTAGTGGCAAGCTCAAAATCACTATCATTGCTGAAAAGAACACTTTTTTAAAAAAAACCACTTGAGCAACCAAACTATATGTTAAGGTGCTGACTGGAGAAATGTTTCATTTATGAAATGTCCCAAATGATATGGAGAACAATGACAAAACAAAGAAACGGAACTTTACCTAGTCCCCATGCTAGAATTAGTATTTGTCCTTTACTGGTGCTTAACTAGTGAAATAGATATGCCATGGCTCTGAGCTTTTCAGAGTGTGAAGTAATAAAGAATTCAAAAAACAGGTTTTTAGACTATTGACCAAAAGGATTCTTTTTTGATATGGCTGGAGATACAACTACTTGTACAGATAAGAGTGGTAATAGACACAAGTACTAACTCCAGATGCAAATATAGTGGTAAGTTGCAAAACAGATTTAAGTCCCCTGATACCATTAGAGGTGACCAGTGCTAGGAAGCAAGAGGACCCATATATTAGTGCCTTTCTGTCCTAATATTTTCTGGTATTTACACAGCTAGTGGCACCACTGGCATCCCTATCATCTAGATACACATTTCGATTAAAGTCTGCTTAGTTATGAAGGCATGAGAAGGCTTCTTTCATCTGTATTCTCTAGAAAGAAATGCAGGAGCAGAAAGTAAAAGCTTAATGCTAGGTCGGTAAGTCCTTTGAGCCTGTGACTTCCTACAGCCCTCAGAGTGTTAGTTCCATCTGTCAAATGTCTACTCTGGCACAGAAAAGCTATTTAAAGTGTTGGTGCTATTGTGATTAGGGCAGATCTGCTGGTAAGGATGGTATTTTTAGCTCCCAGCTAGACCCAGGGTGTTGAATCAGAAGGAACTAAACCTGAAATTGTTCATGTTAATAGACGCCTCAAGACTGGAAGGAAATTGAAAAGCTAGGGCACTCTAGATTTTGGAATGGAGGCAGAGGAGGAGCTAGAAAGATCAGTTGCAGGAAGTGATCTTACAAGTTTTGCAGTGCTTATAGTGTGGGAAGCTATGGCCTTGGGGTCCTGGAGAAAATGAGATGACTGCTGGCCGCTCTGCTCCATGTGCTGTGCTACACTGAGCAGCGTGTCACTGGAAAACTGGCTCGTTGGCATTTGGAGCACCAATGCAGGGAGGAACTGGCATGAGGCCATGGCAGGATTTATCAAAACTGAATTTGACGAGAAATGATTCCAGGTTACATCAGAGGACAGTCCCACTGGGAGAAAGGCCCAGGATCTCTTTTTTGGCAAGATCACAAATGGACACCAAGGGACACCAGGGCTCAAAACTCCAATTTGGAAGGAGAGGGATCTTTCTACTATTTTGGCAGGCTGTACCTAAAGCCTGCATTCAACCAAATGTGCATTTCCTTTTCTGAAAAAGAAGTCCTACTGAGTGTCTGAAACAAAAGTCATCGCGCCAGTTACTCAGGTCTTTTTCTCTGCGCTCTACAGGCCAGCTTCCCAGATCATCTTTCAGGAACACTGGTGTTCCGTCGATGTTAATAAGAAGTATTTCGTGATTTTAAATCCAAGTTCAAATTCAGCTAATGCTGAGTTCAACAGGTTTCATCAATGTTGGACTTCTCAGCTTTCCATGTGCTATGTGCAAGGGGAGCTCTGAAGGCATACCACACACTGTATTCTTCAGCTTTGATAAGCTGTAGTTTATTACAGAACTTAAAAAAAACACCAGCATATTTATTATGTGACTGATTACTGGACTCCATAAGATGCACCAGATGCTCCTGTGGCTGCTCTGTTGGGCGTGAGTGCTGCTGCTTCAGGGATCTGATGCCTCAATGTGCCATGTACCATTTTCAGGTGCCTCGCTTGGCCAGTTCCAGCGGGATCTTGTCTTACAGTCTTGTTCCAGTTATACCTGCTCTTTGCTTGGGACAGCAACTGTACTGCCACAGGTCGACTTGTAAAGGCAGGTCTCAGAGGCATGGCAGTGGCTCATGGGGCCTTACTGTGATGCTTTCCTAATGGCGAGCTTGCCTTCATCACCTGGTTTTTGTAGCCAGGACCAAAGGGTCTAGAAGAGCCAGAACTCTATGTGGAGGGACAAGTGTTCTCAGAAACATCTATATGAATTGCATCCATAGGACCAATTGGTACTACGGTGAACTATGATGAAGGGCAAAATCTCTCCTGAGTTGGGTATTGAGGCTATAGCTTTTAACACTATGGATTCTGTACAAGCTGTTCCTAAAGAACAGCTTATACAGCGGAAGTTACCCAATTGCCCCTACATTCATCAAATGAGTTTCATGGTAACTGACCAGTGAGCTTCAGAGAGAGGCAGATAGTACTGCCACCTACCTAGAATATGGCACAAAAGGAAACTCAACTTGGTCATTTTGTGTGTGTGTGTGTGTGAAAATTCAGTAAAAACTCAGACTCTGTTTAAAGATACATAACAATCAAGATGAGAAATGTTGACCGAGACAATGTTAGAAGGAAGTTAGATATGTGGCATTCCTAAAGAGAACCACTACCCAGTTAATACAAAGAAAATTAAAGATGACTATCTCCTTAAACACTTTAAGGGTTCAGGGGAGGCCCTGTAAGAGCCATCGGAAGTACAGTATAAATACATATCAAAGCACCCTCAAAATGAAAAAGTTGTAAAGAGACACAGAAATTTTTCCTCCTTTTCTTTGTGTAGTGCCACGGTGCCTTTTCCTGCCAGGGCTACGCTCCAGCTACAATGAGGAGAAGGCAGCATGCTGACAGGATGACATGATGGGCAAATGGGGACAGTGACCAAGCACTGGGACTCAACTACATTCACACTGAAAATCTTCTAGAAACCTAACAAAAAAGAAAGACAGATAGACAGACAAAGACTGGGCAAAACCAGTATAATTCTGAAGAGCTTAGGGTTTTCTTCCAATCCTGAGGAACACTACAGTGAAAAGAAGTGCTAATTCATGCTTTGGGGTCACTTCTTTGATGTTCTATTATAGTAAAAAAAATAAGTATCTCAGAAAAAAAATCACTTTTCCTCCAATATTGAAGGTTGACATAAAAGGAGAAACAGAACGTTCAGTTCTTGGGAGAGGACAGACCCTCTAAGTACTCCTTCAATTACCTGATGCTTACAGGATGATCATTCAAAGAAACACGACTATTGATGAGTTGTAAATGTGTACCTCTAAATCACACACAGTGTACTAAACCAATGTTAAACAATCTTTTAAAAAAGGTTAGCAAGATAGTGAATAACATATGTTCAACCACTGAAGAAGTGGGTAGATGGATTCAATTTAGTTAAGTATCTTAAATCTGTTATCTTGTAAGTAACCTAGTACTTCTATCAAAACATCTCAAGTTTTAAAAAAATAAGTTTGAGAGTTATATACCTAATATAGCCACTAGAAACAAGGTAGATGTGGAAAGAAGAGGCAGGTAAATAAAATTAGATTTTCAAAAATCTAATTTGAGGGGCGTCACTGGTGGTGCAAGGGCCAAAAACACAGTGCTATCAGGCTACCAGGGAGCTGACCCACATGGCACAGCAGACCTCAGCAGTGTATTTCAGTAGATCTGCCTGTTCTGCTTCCTGCTCTGTCTCTGGTGAATCTTCTCACCCCCTCCTCTTCACCCCTGTACCTCTGGCCTACACCCCAGTTTTTATATGCATGAATAAATCAATCTTAAAAAAATATCTAATTTGAGTTACTAGGATTAAACTGAAAGTTAGTCATTACTCACCAGCATTTAAATGGCATTCCTTAATCTGAAACTGAAGTTCATTTTCATTAGGAATATCTTTCCATGTTGCAAGAAAGACCTGGCGCTCTGTGTGGGGAAGCAGAGAGAAAGAAGGATGTGCACAGTCTGTTAGAGTTATTCTGATTTCTGATGCTTCACATCGCTTTGCCTTTAGAATTCTGGCTCTTACAATACAGCAAGCAGCAGCCTGGGACTGAAGCCAATTCTTAGTTACGCAGTAGTGCTATACTCCAGTTTACTCAATCCCACCCCAGAAGCAGTAAGATACACTAAAAAAGAGTTACATTTAGAATTTAGTTTTGCCTCACTGCTTTCCAGTTCAGGAGTCAGTGGAATCTTTCTAACCCTTAGTTTCATCATCTATAACTATATCTGTTCTGCCTACTGAAAGACCCATTGTAGGAATCAAATCAATTATGTGCTAATGTAATTTATAAATACCAATATATGTCAGTTTTATTATATGGTGATTTCGTAAGTATGGGAAGCAAGAAATATCAACAATCACATGAGGAATGCTAATGGTTTATTGAATTCTTATCTTCAGACAGTAAAACTTAGCACAAAGCTAGATGTTAAATTTGTGTGTATTTTCTCACTAAGTTATTAAAAGATTGGCTTTCTATTTTGTAAACTCGGAAACCAAACTCAGAAAATGTAAGCACCTTTCCACAGCAACACAGTGACTGAGTTATTCAGAGATAGGCATTGTGATTTAGCAACATTTAGAGACCAAAGCAAAGCAACATCAACTGTGACTCAGGCAAATAAATAATTAGCAATTGTAAGAGCTTTAATAGCCTTACCCCATTTTTTAAAACCTAAAAGCAAGTTGTACTTCTGGGGCTATGCTGTGCCTGCTACTGAGATAAAGAGCAAAAGTGTATTTGGCAGAATAAGAGGACACACTCACCCATTTTGCCATCTTCTACAAAAAGCACATTCAGTGGGATGAGGCAGCTGAAGTAGAAGACATCAATATTGTTTTTCACAGCCACCTGCCAGGAAAGTAACAAGGAAAAATTAGGACATCACAGAAAGCCAGGTAGGAGGGAAAGAACAGTTAGGTATCTATAAATACATCACCCCATTTCCTTTTTCTTTTAGAAAATGCAGAACTCCCCAAACAAGACACACCATACACTGAAAGTATATCCTTACTCACTCCATGGTTAGACACTATGATAACCTGCAACTCTTACCTCTCTCCAGGAGGAGCTCCTAGGAATGAATTCAAAGCATAATCTATACAAATATTTTACATTTCTATGGTTTCTGATAGTAAATATTGCCAATGTTTTCACAGTATACAAATTATCCAGTATAAAATTACTAATTTTAAAGTGGTTTCTTTTATAAGATCTTACTGCTTAAGTCCTATAGCTGGGAAAAATTCAGTGGATGAATCTGATGATTATAAGGAGAAACCTTTGCAAAGCAAAGAAATAACTTCTCACAGTACAAGCTTTTGATTTAGGTAGACCATGAATCTACCATGCTGTTCAATTCAGACCCTACTGTTCATGTTTTTAAAAAGTGGCAGTAAGTACTTCTGTGTTCAAGGGCAACAATGATTGGTGCATATATTCAGAAACAAGCAGATTCTACTGTGGCAGACTATAAGAACCATACACTATAAAAGGAGAGGAGGAGAACTGCTCTAAACCACTACTTCCCACTGATTTCTGTCACTGGTGATTTCTCTGGCTATGCTCTTGGCACTGCAGGAAAACATTTCTCTGCAAGTTTTAAAATCATTAGCCAGGTCTTTTTCGCTTTCATTTTGCTCAAAGAAAATAAAAGCTTATCTGGCACCATTTTTCTCTCCTTCCCCCATTGATGGGCAAATGCCCACACTTCAACAGGATACATAGCTCTTCTAACTGTGAATTGCAAATATCCTTCTGATGTACTTCCAGTCCTTCTATATTTATTGTCAACACACTTTCCCCACCTTAAAATAAATAGTATCTTTGTTTCCTCCTCCATAATTTGGTATGGTATGGTTATGTCTACTTAACAGTCTTTCTGGTGTCTACTAGAAGAGTCCATTAAATCACTTTCCTTGCAACTTGTGCTTTCAATCTTCCAATTCTAACTCCCTAGGAGTCCCCATAATCTGATGCACAAAATGCTGAGATGGAGAATTATCAGAAAGCTTGAGTATGGTGAATTTACACAGGAAAGAGGGACACTAAGACATTATTTAGGATTTATCAGAGCAGCACTTCAAAACATTTATATCAACTATGGGTTTCTGGGAGAGGTTTTTTTTTTTTATACTCCAGTACTTAGCAATAGGAGTCTTATTTCAAATGAGGTCATCAAAATGATGTTAAGGTAGTGCCAGGCTTTGTAAAAATCATTTAGAAGTAAAAACTGGGGTGGTGTGAATGTGCTACTGTGGGTCGTACGTAGTCTTACGTGAAATTTGAGTGACTATCGTTATCACCAATTTTGCCACTCATTCAAACATTTATTACTATTTTTTAAGATTTATTTTATCTATTTACTCATACAAGAATTGGGGGGTAGGCCAGAGGTATGGTGGGGAGAGCGAGAGGATTCACCAGAGACAGTGGAGAGCAGAACAGGTGGGTCTACTGAAATACACTGCTGAGGAGAGCAGCAGGTGAGACAGGAGAGGTCTGTTGTTTAATTCCCAAGGAATTGAACTTGTACCACAATCACTGGTGACAGCTTGTTAATGCTGAGACTTTAATCCCTGTGCCACCAAGGATGCCCAAACATTCATAAATATTTACTACATCCTAAAGCACTTGAGACAAGGAAGAATATAGAAAATACAATCCTTTTCCTCCAGGGATCTTAGTGATTTTTACCAAAGATTTGTACTAGGATCACCTGGGGAGATTTTTCAAGATGTCAGGAGTTCATCTATAAAAAAGAATAACAGTTTCTAAATCTGGGGTCTAGCATGTACATTTTAGAAAACTTCCTAGGAAGAAGTAGATAAATAATTAATTTAGAATAATATTACCCAAGAAGACTGAATAGGCTTCTAAGTATCTTGCTCCTTATTCCAATTGTAGCTTTTTAACAATAGAAAAGACAAGCAAAGTTCCTGCCTTGCGGACAATTTTTAGAAGGAGGTATAAGCCTAGACGAGCTCCCTTAAAAAGCAAATGTGAACAGCTTGACATATAATCCCAGGGGATTCAGGGCACACTAAAAGATGATCCCTGGATTTCAGCTTCTATAACAATTCTCTGAGAATCCTGACACCAGAAATACAATCAGCAGCCTCAAGTGGTTTCGAACAGGCTAGGGAACCAGACCAGACCACCAGATTTCAAATTGTGACTCCTTCACTTATTAGCTGTGTGCCTGGCTTACAATAAGTACTGTAAGTGTGTGATGAAGAAAAATTCCCTTCTTTTATCACTTTCTGTTTTTTCTTTTTACTCAGAATTTTGTAAATCAAGGATAGCCACTTTAGACTTAACTGAAATTGTGCATGTGCTCAAATGTAGTATTACAACTATGCTAGAAAGATCAGAAGAAACAAAAAAAGACTACTGGCAAACTGCTAGCTTAATGATTCTTCTCCTACTGGGTCTTTGGTAAAATATCATCTCTGTAGGCTCAACTGCAAGGTCACTCTGCAAGATGAAAAAACATTTCACCTATTTTACATTAATTTTTCAAAATCTGCATTCTGCAGCTGTTAGAATTTCGCTCTTCATTATAAATGAAATCATCTCAAGAAGAAATGGTTCTCTTGGATTCTGGCCCTGCCTACACACATCTCCAGTCTTATTTCCTTAATTTCAACCATACCAAAATTATCCTTGTTCCCTAAACACTGAAAATGTGACTTTTTAAACATTGTTCTTTTCCTAAAACTGATTTCTTGCTTGAGATGTCTCAGTAAAGCTCTAACCCTTTCATGGCACTCGAGTGCTTACACATTAATATAAAATAATTGTTTACATCTGCCTCACTCATAATATAATGAGCTCTTAGAGTACACGGGCTATTTCTCATCTCCACTAGCATATTTGCTGCATGAAATTAGGGGAGAAAGATGTAAAACAAATGATATAAAGTACTGGTTCTCAACCCTTCTTTCTACCTCTCTATCATTCATCTGCATAGCATAATCCCACTAGTAACATCTAAGCATAAGGTATAGGATTACAAAATGAGGCATGTGTGAGGGAGGATAGGATATAAGGGCTGTTTCTGCTTCAAATCACTGTGTTAAAATAAAAGCAATATGCTAAGAAAGAATAACACAGATAGTATAGATCGTAACCCAAAGAGTTCTCTAAGGATATGTCAATCACTCTTGGGGGGGGGGCTAAAAAAAAAAATCAAGAGAAAAACAGTGTGGAGCCAGTTCAATTTCAATTCAGAGGGCATCTTAAATAGAGTCACTTACTGCTTTGGAAATAGGGAGGGTAGATGTCTGTTTTCTTATTTTAAAATTTACTATCTCAATAGGTACAGAATAAGTACACATAACCCAGGTAATAGAGAATCTCTGTTTAATCTTCTTTTTTGATGCTTTGTAAATGTAGTCTTACAAAGGTAGATTATCTGAATGTTTAGGACATTTGACTTGTAAAAATAAAACTACCAAAAAAAAAAAAAAAGAAAAGAAAACCAATCCAAGTCCACAGAATTATCCCTACATTACCAAGATAACATTGTACTATATTATGTAGTTTAATTGAATTTCACATGTGAAAATACAAAATTACTAGTCCATTATAACAACCATTTCCCAAATAAACATGCACTTCTAGTTTAACTTTGCTTAGAGTAATTAGCATTAGAACCATAGGCTGGTGCTCTCAAGTTCAGTTGAGTTCTCTGGATTATCCTTCAGACCTCTGGCTTCAGATGGGAAGAAGGCAGTCCTGGGAGTTCTAACACATTTTCCATGCCCATCTCTTCTGTCTTCCTGGATTTCAGCAACTTGCTGCCAGGGTTAGTGTCACTAGCAGTCTCTTTTGTCAGACCAAGAATCAATAAATAAATTAGGACTCTTGGACATTTGTTGATAATGGGTATCATTCAGTGAATTTTTATAACATAAAAATACTGGAAATGTTTCTGATGCGGTAGAGTAGAAAGAGCACTGGTTTTGGGCCTTCTGGCTTTAACTGTAGCTACTTTGGACCAGTGATTGGGCTGTTCTGTGCTACAGTTTGTGCACTTCAGACCAGCAACTGTAAATAATGTGGCAGGTCAGTATTAGAAGTATATATGAGGGGCCCATCATAAGAACAAAATTTCTTTGAAGTTCCAAGCTATCCCATAATGCATCTATGTTTTAAAATGAAAATGTGTTTCACTCTTTAAGCAAAACTAATAGATGTGTAACGTGAATTCTTCAATTTCAGGTAACTACTAGTATGTTATTTTTAAAAACTGTGGGTCATAATGAATGGTAGTTGCTAATTAGTGGGTTAAAATTGGCATAAAAAATAAAATATGAAATATAATGCATCTCGTGGAGAGTAAGTAATGTCTCCTCAAACTATCAAGTTATATGTGTATACTATATAAAAGAAATTTCTTAATGTAAGTTGTAGTTAAAAGGAGCAAAAGTATGAATCATAATATTCACACAGATATTCATACTAATTAAAAGCAAGCAGTGAGGAAATGGGTTCAATGAGGTAAAGATCAAAATGCACACCTCAGATTCTGCTAGGGGGTCTAAAGCAGATGACAGATGGGCACCAAGGAGCATATTACCTAATCCTCTAGTCCGCTGGTCTGTCAAGCACCTTTTGTGGCCATAACAATATTAACCTGCCTCTCAGGCCATCAATAGGAAAAGCAAATAGAAATGATTACAAGGCTCTTGGAAAACACAAAAGTGGGCTATAAATGCTTAATAATAATAATGATTTTTAAAAGTTACTTTCAGTGGCTGCTGGGGAAAGAGCAGCCTGTCAGCTTCAGCCTGTAACCTGCAATTAGTTTCTTTCCACATATAGGAAGCCTGCTGCCATAGCTGCAG